TCCTTCCAGTTGTATATTTCTACCACTGAGAGGCAATCTCTTGTTTCCTCTGACTGGCCTTCAAGAGGGTGCAATAGCGCCTTAAAGGGAAGCTTTGTAGTAAGCCTTTTGTTAGCAAATGTAACAGCCCCCCTCAAGACTACTTGCAAATAAAGACATGGATTTTGGCGCGCCCCCCCTCCCAGTAGTCAACAGCATACAGACCAGATTTTCTAGAGTTATTATTATCCCCCATTCAGGCCAGACTTTCAGAAGACCTCAATCCCCATTTAGGCACCAAAATAGGTGGCCAGAGCTGAACATGGTGAGTGCTGAACGCTCTGTTATTTAGGCATATGCTTTTCAAAAGTGCCTAAGTGACTTAGGAGCACAAGTCCATTGAATTTCAATGAGACTTGTCCTTCTAAGCAACTTGAGTGCTTTTAAAAATCCTGCCCTAGGTGCCTAAATAGGATCTGAGCTCTTTTGAAAGACAGGCCCCAATTATGGTGTCTGAGCACTCGTACATCCGTCTTTGAGCTCTTTTGAAAATCTGGCCCTTTGTGTTAGACCCAGGACAATGTGTCTTCTGCATAGAAATCATGTTAGACAAAAATGGTTCTTTAGTTTAAAACACCTTAATGGACCATATGTTCTTGATCATTACAGGCCCTATTTAATGCAAAGAAAGAAATAGCTGAAAAGGACCCTGTGAAGGAGTTCAGTTTTAATTGGAGCATACTGAAGCTCTGGAAAGGTGCTCCAGTTAGCCATAGGGAGACATTTTAAAGGATGCACAATTTGGATGGGTGACACAAAGAATATCAAGTAAAAAGCAACAGAGGGTCCTGTGGCACCTTTAAGACTAACAGAAGTATTGGAGCATAAGCTTTTGACTTCTGTTAGTCTTAAAGGTGCCACAGGACTCTCTGTTGCTTTTTACAGATTCAGACTAACACGGCTACCCCTCTGATACAAAGAATATCAAGAATCTTTCCCTCTCTTCACCCTCCTGTAATTTTATAGCTTTCCTATAAAGCATATAGGGCTGTACTTCCAAAGTGTATTTATCTGTCTTTGCAAAAAGAATAAGAGTACTTGTGGCACCTTAGAGACTAACAAATTTATTAGAGCATAAGCTTTCGTGGGCTTCAGCTCACGCATCCGAAGAAGTGGGCTGTAGCTCACAAAAGCTTATGCTCTAATAAATTTGTTAGTCTCTAAGGTGCCACAAGTACTCCTGTTCTTTTTGCGGATACAGACCAACACGGCTGCTACTCTGAAACCTGAAATTTATCTGTCTTTGTATCTCTTTATTAAACAATATGTTCAACATTGGTTAGGAAAGTGCATGGAATGTTTGTTTAGTTCTCCTTCAGTGACCAGGTAGGTGAGGTAATATCTTTTATTGGACCAACTTCTGTTGGTGAGAGAGACAAGCTTTCAAGCTACACAGAGTGCTTCTTCAGGTCTGGGAAAGGCACTCCGAGTGCCACAGCTAAATACAAGATCGAACAGATAGTTTAGCATAAGTAGTTAGCTCATATGCTAAGGGACCGTTCAAGATGAAGTGGCCCATGACGAATGGACAATCTAGTCTCTTACTGGCGAGCTGTGAGTGTAGCACATGGCCATTTGATTAAACTAGAACCTGCTGAAGACTTCAGCTGACATGGTACACTCTCTGACTTAGTAAATGGACATAAGGTGAGTGGGTCTGTCAGCATGTGCTCTTTGAAAACATGAGCTGCTTATTCTCATCTGTCAGCAAACTTCCGGTGCAGGGTTTAGAATTTGCTTGCATCAATGCTCAAGAGTTTACTGTAACATAATAAAGGATACTTAACTCCTGTTAATCATTGCCTGCTCTTATTTTTATCATGTAATTATCACAGTAAGAAAAGAGACGGAGGACAGCTGCATTCCCCCAAATACATATTTTACTTCATCCGATGCTAAGTTATTTTTTCACTGGGCATATTTGAGAAAATTCTAATGACTAGTTTGCTTTTTGTCGTAGGGTTGGGAAGTTAGATGAGGAAAAAGTACCCCTCTTTCTTTACAGTTCAGCTTTATAAGAGTGTCTGTCTGCCGGACTCCTTTAGCTATTGAGCTTTTCTACATGGAAAAAATGTTTTATTACAGCTATGTTGAAATAACTGTTCCATTATAGTGATGCTGGTGTAAGTCCCTGTGTGGACACTTGATTCTGGTATAACTACTTTGCTCCCAAATTATTCTGTTAATATCTGAATAAAATCACTCTGATCCCAGAATAAAGTGTCCATACAGGGACTTATAACCAGTATTACTATAGTGCAGAAAAATGATCATAGTATAGTTTATACCAGGAAATTTTCCCATGTAGACTAGTTCATATGTAAAGTTAGCCTTACAAAATTACACTTGTCCAGGGTGAGTAGATTGTGCGTTTTTTATTAATAAGTGAGTAAAATATTATATTTCTACTCATCCGCTTGGTAAGGGTGAATGAGCTGATCTTGTGCCTGGGCTAGTAAATCTTCAGCATTATTGCAATGAGAATAGGCTTCATTATTGGAGAAATAGACCTCAGGAATTCTCATACTCTGTATACAACTTGCTTAATAAAGTGATAATGCTTAGAAAGAACTAAGTTAACCTTAATTGTGCCTTGTCTAACTCAACCGTTCAGACTTTTAACTGATCTAGGAGTAGGGTGGCGTACAAGCTCTGATAGTGATCATATTCAGGGAAAGGGCTGTTAATAATGTCTAGGTTTTTTTTAACCCTTTCATGTTCAGATAGTTGGATTAAGTTTTCTCACAAATGGGCTCTTAATTGAACCTGCTTACCTTTCTTGATGCTAATTCCATGTCTGCTGTGGAAGCTCAAAGAGGGATAACTTCTAATTTTGGGTGCTCTCTTTGGCTCTGAAGGAGCAGTTTAGCGGAAGTGAAGTGAGGGAAGTCACGTGCCTGATACTTTTACCATCCGTTCAGACTTATTGCTATATTAAGATAATTTGTCGCTGCTGTTCAGAGAATCTACCTTGCAGCAATTGAAGTGGTCTGTGTCTGGCTGAGAACTTAGAATGCATCTTCTCTTCCATCATGGTTTTGAAAGTGAATAGTATTTATAAAGTGATGCTTAGAAATGGTTTTTCTGGATATCATCCTTCACTTCTTTAAAATCATCCCTAGAGAAAGTGTTCCTGCTGCATTCTCTAAAGGGCTGTGAGCCAGCTCCTGAAATCCTTACTCTCACAGCACTAAGTTCATTGGGAATGTTGCCTGGGTAAGAGCTTCATGATTTGGCTGAGCAATAATTTGAAGGCTTGTCCCTAGATGTTTGCTGCAGCTGCAATTTATTATTGTTGTTGGATTCAGGAATCTGTGTATCTGCCTGGGTTCTTGTTCAGATGTACTGTTTCTTAGACATGACATACTTTTAAGACCTGGAGTTAAATTATGGTTTGTTGTCTTCATGTAGAAGTTGAACGTATTGGCTGCTGTCCCAAATTTAGCTGTCCTTTGAATTGTTTTATTTGGCTCTTCTTCTTTATTTTTTTACCAATATTAAATCAAGCTTTCTGGATGGCATGTTATTGACTAGAAGAGGTAATGAACTTGAAACCTTTTTGACTGGTTATTATTGAATCAGTTTATTTTATCCCCGCAGTGGCTATTTTATGTATGTATTTTCTGTTTGTGCATGATTGGAATGGCTTAATTGCTTTATTCTATTGGCTATGCTTTATTTGCTCCTGTTCTCTGCCTGTGGTACACAACAATTTAGTCTCCGGAGGATTATAATACTTTAGTGTAATACTGGTTGTTGGGGGTTGATGTGTGAGTACTAGGTGGTCTTGGTGGCCTGTGACATACAGGAGGTCAGACGAGATGATCTGATGGTCCCTTGTGGCCTTAAACTCTCTGACTTGCTTTGTATCACAATGCAAGTGAGAGGTTTTTGAATGGATTGTCAGATCTTTAATCACATGTGAAGATCAGTGTTTAAAACATTTAGACAAACTTTGCAGGAAGTTGCATATCACCTATTAAAAATCTGAGCCCAAAAATAGTTTGTGTGGAGGTGGTGTAATATTAATCAAACCATTAACCAGTAGTGCTGAGTCATTGAACCCACTAGGTGGATCAAGGAGTTCCACCAGGCATGAATTTGGTCCAGTGCCTCAAAGAGGAGGGTGATAGATATTATCTAGCTGCTTTTGTATTATTTTGTCTGTACTGAAACTATTTACATACACCAAGGACCTAGTTGTGTGACTCTTGCTAGAGTGCACGTAAGACGTGATCTGGCAAGATGATGCATGTAAGTGCAAGGATTCAGGGTCTTACTCCAGTAGTCTTTGATTTCAGTGGTGGTACACCTCTTACCCCTGCAACATTGCTTAGTCCTGGTCTACATTTAAAAGTTAGATTGATCTGGCTTTGTCATTCAGAGCTGAAAATTTCATGCCCTGACTGCCGTAGTTAGATTGACCTAACCCCCAGTGTAAACATCGATAGGCCTGACTGTAGAGTTCTTTCAGTGACCTAAGTACCACCTCTCAAGGCTAGTCTATACTAGGCGGGGGTATCCATGTAAGATACGCAACTTCAGCTATGGGAACAGTGTAGCTGAAGTCGACGTATCTTATTTCGACTTATCTCCCGTCCTCACGGCGCGGGATCGACGGCTGCGGCTCCCCCGTCGACTCCGCTACCGCTGCTCGCCCTGGTGGAGTTCCGGAGTCGACGAGAGCGCGTTCGGGGATCGATATATCGCGTCTAGACGAGATGCGATATATCGATCCCCGATAGATCGATCGCTACCCGCCGATCCGGCGGGTCGTCTGGACGTACCCTCAGAAAGGTGGATTAACTGTATTGATGCAAAAAACCCCTTCTGTTGATGTTGGAAGTGTCTATACAACGGTGCTGCAGTGCTATATCTGTGCCACTGTAACGGCTGTAGTGTAGACATACCCTTACTGAGCTCAGATAGCTTAATCAAATTATGCTCTCTTTGCTGCATAGGACAAATTTAGAGGCGCTGCAGAAGAAGCTGGAAGAGTTAGAATTGGATGAGCAGCAACGTAAACGTCTTGAAGCTTTCCTTACTCAGAAGCAAAAAGTTGGGGAACTGAAGGATGACGACTTTGAGAAAATCAGTGAACTGGGAGCAGGAAACGGCGGCGTGGTCTTCAAAGTATCTCACAAACCTTCTGGCCTCATTATGGCAAGAAAGGTGAGAACTTCCGTGGCAACAGGAGCTTTAATGATGCCTTTTCAAAGTTTAGTGCCCATCAAAAAGTGACATTGACACACATAATATTACCAAAGACCAACTTCCAGGAGAAGTGGAAATGCCTTCTAAAAATAGCAAAGGTCAAATACTTCTTTAGCCTCCATTTCCCCTGTCTGCGAACATGGTATTATGTTCCACGTTGTAGCGATGAAAGGCCAATAATCCCCTCCCTTTTTTGTTAGCAGCTTCTCATATTTTGTAAAGTAGGAGGTATTTTATTTACTGCCAAAAATCTTCTCTCTCTCTGATGCAAAATCTAAATACACCGTAGAACCTCACTAATGACTAGGATATCCACAACTAGTTACTAAATGTTTTGGATTAGCAAAGCGGCATATCCTGTCCCCTAAGCCAGGCTTGCGTACAGAGGCTTAATACAGTTTACACTGTTGGGGTTGGAGGGGGGGAATTCTCCTCCTCATACCTCTCCCTCCACAGGCTGCTGAGGAGGAGTAGACCTACTCTTTGTCTGCTACTGCACCATCAGGGCTCCTTTATTGTGGAGCAGAGGGAATGGCCGGTGGAACCACTGTCTCAGCCCCCCTGCCTCCTTCACTGGAATGCAGGAAGAGCCCCTTGTCTGTGTAGTAGGAATACCCTGCCACAGGGAGAGCTCTTTCTGGTGAAGTAAAAAATGTAACTTTATGCATTTGGCAAGTGTCACGTAATTATTTAATATTGCATAGCATGCTACTAAATCATGATTATTAATCATGTTTATTAGAGTAGTGACTAAGGGCCAGCCAAGAATAGGGTCCCATTGTCCTAGGTGCTGCACAAACAGAGCATCAGACTGCCCTGGCCCTGAGTAGCTTGCACTCTCAATAGACCACACAGACAGGGGAAAGGGACAAATACACAAGTAGCGTGAACAGTGTGATGGTGGCAAGCATCATGTTAGTGCCACAACTTATTTATTGTTTGGGATTGTTTTAGTTAGGAGGGGATCAGCTAAATGGCAAGCGGAGGGGAGAATAGGGTAAGAGAGGCAGGTGTGGAATGAAACTGACTGAAGAGACCGTCTTGGCGGGTGGGACGAGGGGGAGCAAACAGCCAATCAGCACAGGGCCGAGGCTATCCGAGAACTTTCTGCAGTTCTCACTGGAATATCCAAGGGTCCAGATGTTCCTCCTTTGGCTACTTCTGGTTCTACTGGCCAGAGTCTCTGGCTGCCTATTCTCTGCAGTTTTCCCCCAAGATCATATGGTGGTGTGGGTGGGGGAGTGGAGGCGAGGCATCACTTGGACCCTAGTGCCCCCTAGTGTAGGAGGAGGTCTCGCCTCTACAGTTCTGGGTCCAGGTGATGGTTGGGAGCAGGGGAGGGGCGGAGTCCATGATGGTCCAGCTCCATTTCACCCCCTCTACCCAGTGCAGCAGTCTGGCAGTTTCTGTAAGAGGAGTAGATTGAAAACTTTCCATCAAAACTCTTTTTCATCTGAAAATTGGGATTTAAATTACGTTAATTTTTTTCATGAGAAGCGTGCGTTCTGTGGAGTGTTTTTTTTTTACTTTTACTGAAAACCAAAAAAACTTTGATTTTGAAATGCTGCTCTGGTATCTCATGAGAACTGTAGTTCAGATGCATTATGCCCCCGTTCTCTGGCCTTGGCTACACTCGGGAATTCACAGCGCTGCCATGGCAGCGCTGTGAAGCGCGAGTGTAGTCGCGCCGCCAGCGCTGCAAGAGCTCTCTCGTAGCGCTGTATGTACTCCACCTCTCCAAGGGGAGTAGCTTGCAGCGCTGCAAGTGAGCGTGCAGTGCTGCAGGCTCTGATTACACTCGTGCTTTACAGCGCTGCACTCGCTGCGCGTCGGGGGGGGGAGGGGAGGGCGGGGGCGTTTTCACAGCCCTGAGCGCAGCAAGTTGCAGCGCTGTACAGCGCCAGTGTAGCCAAGGCCTCTATGTGCTGGGTTCCCTGGCCAGACTACATCTCTCATCAAGCACTGTGGTCAGGAACGTCTATTATGCCCTGCTTTGGCTCAGCAAGAGAGGAGGCCATCATAAATCACAGGAGATGTAATTCCGCTATGGAGCCTGGCCCATAGAGGGGCATGGGGCACAAGGCACCCAAATTATAACCCTTGTGAGGCACCATTGCAGAATTTCAAAATCAGAGTTTTCAGCTGAAAGTTTTTAGTTTAAATTTTTGGCTCCAAAGTCAAACGTTTCCACAGAAAATTTTCAAGAAAGCGACATTATTTTCATTTGCATCAAAATTTTCCACAAGGTAAAAAAACATTTTCCAATCAGTTCTCTTTAGTAACATACATCACTGTAATGTTCTGTTATCAAAGCTGTGGGAATCAAGGCGAGTTGGCCCTTTTTCAGGGTGAGACTTTTGAAGTTCAAAGATCAGTGAGTCTCTTGCACAGAACCAATTTACTTGATTTTTTTTTTTCACCCATTTTATAAAACGTTTAGAGGGAATTTTAGCCTAGTTTGTGCCATTTAACACTTATCACTTATAGGCTATTCAATCAATTATCTTTGCTTAATTGCTTTCCTTCAATGTGCCCAGTACCATTTTGTTTTCCATAAAGTAGTCTCTGAATCTGTACTCTTTCTGAAAGAAATAAAAATCCCTTATTTTGCATTAGGCAAAACATAGTCTAGCTAAGCAGTGTAATTTTATAGCTTCTCTTTAGATATATATTCATATTGACTAATTTTTTTTTTTAAATGCCCAAGGTGTGACTGAATTTTGTTCTTCGCTGAATGTATTTGGGACATGGCTTGCAAGCAGCTGCAGAAAGGCATCTGCCCAGATGTTTGCAAAGCAATTAGGCATTGTGACATATTTTGCTATGTAACTTCATTCATGGATTTTCCTCGGTATACATGGTCTAAATAACTGAAATAGATCCATTAACAGTAAATAGATAGAAGAGGAAAAAAAATGCATTGGAACAAAATGTTCCCACTGAAGAACTTCTTGAAAAGATAAGATAAAAATCCCACTCTTGGTAATATAAGTACTATACATCAGGTATTCTTTTATGCTATAATTAATGTCTCTCAAGAACTGTGATTGTCTTAGAGCAAAGAGTAACATGTTGCATTTTAACAATTATAGTAGATTATCTTACTTGCCTACCATAATTAGAATTTAAATTTTTATCAAAAGAGCAATTTTCTTGCTACCACTGCAGGTTGGGAAGATTATCTTGCATTTTTGTTTTAATATGGTTGTTTTCTTTTGTATTTTGGGTGTCTTTAAATTGAGGAAGAAAATGTCTTTACACAGTACTCTCATCTGCAATGTTGGACTTACTTGTGTAGTTCTAGAATATCAGAAATGTCCTCCACTTGAAAAATAAATAAATAAAAATCCACACCTTTGGTGCACTCACTGTATAATAAGACTTTTTTATATCTTAGTTGAGGTCTATTGGACGTTGTGTTATTTATATTAAATATAAAATATTAGTTTAAAAAAAAAAGCATTGTTTAGAATGTTTTAGTTGAAATAGACCATTCCCTAGTGGCCACACACATGCACAGAAAAGTTGCATATTGCAAATTGCATCCTTTTGTTAGTTTCACCAGAAAAGCAAGCTATTAACTGGACACGGAGACTGAGCTATCCCCTGTCTTCAGACCCTTCCATTCATGTCAAGTTGGAGACATAATGGTGTGGCTCATATGGGGAGCTTTCATTGCTCTATGTGTACTGTATCTATTCTGAGGATAATTAGGACTTCACTCTCCATTGCTATAAATACAGCATCTTTTCATGAGCACTGGAATTCACGTACTGTTGTTTTTGTAAAAGGTACAAATGTGGAACTTCCCCAGTAACAGGTATGCCTACAGTTCTATAGGACGATAATGCTTAGTATTATTATTTCAGTGAGTTAAAATAAATATTGCAGTATCCAAGTCATGTATATTTCTTTTAAATTGTCACTGAGGGAACAATAACAATTGATTTATTTTACAGTTAATTCACTTAGAGATCAAGCCAGCTATTCGAAACCAGATCATTCGTGAGCTACAAGTTCTACATGAATGTAACTCTCCATACATAGTGGGCTTTTATGGAGCTTTTTACAGTGATGGCGAGATCAGCATTTGCATGGAACACATGGTAAGTACATGTCTATCTGTGTGTGTTAATCTAAATTTTGGTATCAAACTCCTGTGAATATAAAATCCAATAGATACCGTATTCTGCATATATTCATAGAACCTCTGTTAACATAGCAGCCCTTTATGCATGTATGGCGAGTGGAATATTGGAGTACAGCTCTACCATGCAAATCTGAGGACTTTGGATTTAGCATGGTTATGTTTTTACGCCCTTTCCAGAGACTGATCCTCTGTATCTGTCATAGCCCTACAAAAGTTCCTATTTTCTTCTCCTTTATCCCTAGTCTTTTCGAATCCACATTATAGCGACCATTCTTACAGCCAGTCAACATGCTGTTTAATCAGTCAGAGGCGTTACTGTTGTGGAGTATGAGGGGAAAAATAATCTCCTTTTACAGCAACTGCCAGCATCAGTGTGACCACCAATGTAAAAAGGGCTCAGATGTTTTTACCACTTGAAAACCTGTTCTGAGCTGGGTTTTTTTGACACAATGTTAAAAATACCTGGACTGTAATGCCAGTGGTGGCTTATCATTGGTGCAGCTGCTGTAAATATAGGTATTTAATTTTTCGAGTGTAGATGCATTCCCTCTATTCTCTCTGAAATGATATCTGCCCTGCCCATTCTTTCTGAAATCTTAGAAGAATTAGAGAGGAAACTAGCAAGACCAGAAGCACCATAAGCAATGGCTGTTTCATACCGACATCATTTTTTTAACTTTTTCATTTTTAATAGAAAAGTACAGATTATTC